TGTATATATTATTCACGAAGAGATTTGCTTTTCTGTTTCTTTTACAGTTTTACATGATATATATTATACACAATATATTAAAGAACAAATCAAGGAAAAAAAAGGAAAGAAAAAAGTAAAGAGAGAAATGTTGTGGCAAATCTACTGATTTAAAACACTTTCTCTCTTCTTTTCATCAAAAAGACAAGAGCAAACTACTGTACTGTTTCTCTTTTTCGCGTTTCTGCGTTTCTACGTTTCATTGGATTTGAAAACAGTTGAGAAAGAAGAAGATAACGATTGTTTTGAACCGGTTAACCTCTTCTATATGACCAATATAGCTCAATAATAAATCAAGGTCACACCAAAAGGTCAATAAATAAAGACGATTTTTAGTGTTATACAACATATCCGTATATACATGAACACAAAGGAGTTAAGAGATCTTCCGTTACTTGGTCGTAAAACGACAGCGCTTTACCAGTCTTTGAGCAGTTCTCCAGCAACATCTCTGTAGCTGACTTTCTTCTTCTTCACAGGAGGAGGAACCGCGTCTGCGTCCACAACTGCATTCACTGAAGAGCCCCCAGTCTCATCGTTGAGTTTTCTTTTCTCTGAAGACTCACAGTACTCACCAGAAACACTAGCCTCTCGGTTTGATGTGTCTGTGTTTTTCATACCGAGGCTTGGGATCATTTTCATTAACATGGCCTGTACCGGATCCTCATGGATTTGTAGCTTCTCTTTCATATCCATCGCGGTCTTCATCTCGTTTCTGGAACCTTGGGAGACCTCACTTGCTTCTTTGTTGTCTCTTCGCTCTGGTTCTGTATATTTTGTTCTGTCGGGTTCTCGGGTTTCATCATTTTCGACTGATCTACTCTCTTCCGCATTTGCAGTCTCTTCTTCCTCGTTTTTGTCATCAAAATCATCATTTTCCTCAGACTCATCGCCTCCTATCTTCGAAGGCTTCTTGCCTCTACGGAGTCTCTGGACTCTCTGGGTTTGTCCCACACTAGACTTTCCTCGCTTTGCAGGCCTTCCTCTCCTCGGGTTGTTCCTTTGAGCCTCACCTAACTTATCCGTCTCTTCTGTTATATCACCGAGTCTTGCGGAAACCTTTTCTTCAGAATCATCACTATTCTCTGTTTCATCTCCGCCTATCTTAAAAGGCTGCTTGCCTCTACGTCTCTGTACTCGCTGCATTGAGTTTGTAGAAGACCTTCCCCTTTTAACAGCTCGAGTATTTGACCGTCCTCTTGACCTTGCAATTGCCTTTTTAGATGAATCTGGCTCTTCAGTTTCAGCACTATCAGAGACAGCTACTTTCGTTGTGTCATGTTCGGATTTACTGAAGAAAACAGAGACACAATTATTGGAAGCTTTTTATTACCATGCCCTTATATAGATGAGAGACCAAATTGTATCAGTTGAAAAAAAAAAACTCATCAAAAAGTGTTGACTCACTCTGATTCTTCAGTATCAGACTCCTCCATATAGTTAGGCCTCAGATTATAGACGTCCTCACACAGTTTTTGCTCTCTTTGCAAGCAATCTTCTAACCAGTACGAGCTAACAACACGCAGCCTTTTCTTCAACAGAAGACGTTTCTCCATTTCATTGAAACTTTTAAAGAGAGAACAGAGTTAGTCTTAATCCTCATCGTAATCTAGTGCTAAACTCAACAGCAGAAAGACAAAAATATTTGTATACCTTTTCGAAAGTGAAGTAAAATCTAAAGAGTCTTCTGCGAAAGCAAGGACTACAAGGTGTGACGCATGAGAAAGATTATTGCTAACTTTACCACCAGCCATTAAGACTTCGAGCGCTAATCTCTTAGCCATAATTCCCAACAGGTCTTCCTCTTCAGTTCCCCTTCAAGAAAAGAAAACAAAAGGACATACTGAGGATGAAGAGTACTGTTTTAGGCAACTGAAATGTTTTAACAATATAAGAAGAAATCTCTTACAACGTTTGACTATACGGGTAAAAGTAAATGCAGCAGCCGAAGAAGCAGGACCATCTTTTCTCTGGACATAACTTTTTCTTGTAGTAGTCAATGGATTTTGAGTCTTCGGATTGCTTGGCATTGCTTAAGACCTGGAAATGAAGAAAAAGGGGTTGCAACCAGTAATTGGTCTCAGTAAGTAAATAATATTTCCAAGACGGCTAACTGAACACACATACCTGTTTGAGACCTTCAAGGTCTAAATCCCAAAAATAAGAATCCGAAAATTCATCAATTTCATCTTGTAATTTTGTCCTCGAAAGATCGGTGAGATGGAGGAAATACCTTCAAGAAGTGGGCGTTTTTCATTAGACGAGATATCAATATCACAAAATCACAAGGGTTGACACCATAAGAAAATACTGGAAGGACTCACTTTGGCTGCAAAGGAAGCAGATTATTTCGTGAACAGCAATCTAAGATCCATGAAAAGTGGATGACATCTCGCTGACGCTTTGCTGCCTGATACTTTAATCCTGAAATAGATCCCAATGCCACACTCTTTGATCGAATTGTTTTCAAACTGCAATCATAAGTACAAAAGGGTCTGGTAAGAAATCAATATGTAAAGAGTAAGAAAGTGACATACCACTGCTTTCCGCGGCAATGCAATGAGTCACTGAGTTGTTTAAGTTCATTGAGAACTTCCCTCCATTCTCTACCACCATTTTGTGGAATGCATCAAGAGAATAGGACCGAGGCACGTTAACAAAATCTGTTAGATTTGTCAAGGGGATAATAAAAGTGTAGTATGACAAAGTTCTCAAAGTTTGCAAGTTCAAGCAATTTCAGAACTTATCCATGTAAAAAGGAGTTTAATTATAACAGAAGATGCAATCAGTAAGAAAAGAGTAGCGAGATGAGAGTGGGCCAAAGGATACAAAATATCATATTTGAGAAGACTGAGGTCTTGCCGTTGATACCCGTTACATCAGTTTGAATAAACTGAGAGGGTACAAGAGAGACATTTTTTTTCTCTCCTCTCCTGGAGGATTTAATAACTTTCGGATTGTCCTGTGTACTTTCAGATTCCTTCTGTTTCTGTGTGGTGCCATTACTCGAGTTCACCAATTCCACAAAAGCTGCAAGGTAGGATGCATAAAGTAGAAGCAAATAGGTTAATCAACTTTCATGATTACGGGAACCTTGGACAGTTTTGTTTGTTTTCGTTTTTTTACTCACCCTGCACATCGAGACATTCATGCCAAGGCTTGTCATATCTTACTTTATCAATACGAGGAAACCTCAGGCTGTAAGGTGCAACAAACACCTGAAAAGTAAGAAGCAGAGTTTTACATGGAATACAGCATCTGCATTATAACCGACAAATCTGAATTTCCTAATACCAAATGAAAAGAAAAAAAATTAGAGGAAACTAATCTACCCATTCTCACATCTTAGACATACCTCAGACCTTATTGTCCTGATATCACTAGTGATGGAAAGTATTATTGATCTGCAACAAGGGAAGAGAAAAGATATGGTTACTGAAACTAGTATTCGACGATCTTACGTCTTCCGCTTCAATAGAGGAAACTTGTCTAAATTATAAAAAACTAACTTCTCCGGGCTTTCAATCCAAACATCTGGTCTCTCTTTTGAGTGATTTGTGACCTGATAAAAGCTTGGTGGCGCCTTCTTTGGGTGTTCATTTTTTCTGAAACACAAATATAATATGTGATAACTATTAAAGAATGAGGCAATGTTCTCATTGTCAAAATAATATACCAAAAAGCCTTCCAGTTTTGACGTATGCTAATAGCTATTTCTCGTAAGCCATATCTTATAGTGGAGAACCTTTCTAATTATAGTTTTTGGTCAAAATCAGATGAGAAAGTCAGTAAACTCTTCTGTATCTCACCTGAAATAAGGCTTCAGTTTGCTTACAACAGTGTCAAGCTCATCATCAGAAAGTCCAGTGCCAACTCTACAAAAGGACATAAATCTGGAAAAGAGAATAGCTTATCATTGATAATTACATGAAAAGCTCTAAAGTGTTCTCTCAAGACTGGTTCAGTAGTCCTATTTCATCTTCTAAGAGAAAAGGTGAAACCACAGAAATACTAACCGCCTGGGATACACATTTGCCTCTGCCCGATCAGCCAAGGCGACAAGAAACTGTGCTACCTCCCCTCCACGACGTCCAGAGCCATAGTACCCTCCTGTTAAAGATGTAATAAATCCTCAATAAGGCCCAATAGGAAAAGAAAACAAATTTTAAACAAGGGAACATAGACATATCAAGTGCACACCTATTATAAGGACATCTAGGTCAGAACCAGCCCGAACATATTCAGGCTTCAACTTCATCCATTTGCCACTACGATCTCCGGGTTCCCATTTTGATCCCAGGTCTTTAAGCACAACTCCTTCATCTCTGAGCACAAAGGAGAAACTGGATTGGAAACTGAAACACACATCTATGAAGAAAATCGTATGAAAAATCTCTGTACTAGAGGGTAGATTTTGAGATGCAAGTGTCACTGTTCAAATAAAGCCAAGAAGGCACCATCCAAACGTTTTGCACAAATAAGGAAAGAGAGAACCTTTGGCTGGATTTAGAAGAAGGAAAATAAACCTGTTTTCAACCGTTTCTTTGAAAAATCGCTCAACATCAGCTGCAGTATGAGCAATAATAGACCAACTAGGTTCCCCTGCAACAAGTAAATGTTCATGATCTAGTTGTAATTGGGATTGGAGGTACCAGACAATACTATATAGTTGTATGAAAATTCAAAGGGACTCAAAATGATGCGAAAGTCTATAAACGCACAAACTTCAAAAATACGTCATCAAGGATTTATCACATATCTTCCTAAGCCAACTAGAGATGTTAACTCCATTGCATATATAGAATCTTAGTAGCCCATACCTGAAGGGCGATGAACATTGAGACCACCTTCAGGTACTAAAACTTCAAGCCGACCTTTTAAAGGCTTAACCACTTTCCTCAGGAGTTCATGCCGTTCCTTTAAACTCTGGTGGATGACGCTAGTATCACCAACATACAGAACATCAAAGGCAACATCTATTACAAGGTCAAGGAAAATAATATATGTAAAATGGTTCCATCGTGAGATTCTGAGTGTTAGCATTAACTTCTCCTTGTAAGGATACAACATAACTGCATTAGTGAATAAAAGAATATTAGACTTTATAAGGAACCTCACAAAGTTCAACAACTAAAGCAACCAAGTGTAACTTCACATATGAACCTGTTTATGGCTGTCAAGACCTTCCCTTGCTGCCTTCGCTGTGAAGAGAAAACAAAAGGGATCAAATCTACTGCAAGCAAGACTAAAGCATCAAAGCATAAGGATATTGATTAGACGCCAAACCTATTTCCTGATTCGAACCAAACTCAGCAAACCGATTCAGAGATGTATCCCAGACCAACATTTCACCATCGAGGATACACCTAAATGGCAATAGAAAGAAAATGAAAGATAGTATATGTCAAAATTTAAAACTTGTAAAATTTTCAAGAACTTAGATAAACAGCAACTGGATTCTTACTTGTCAGCCAATATATTTTGAACAATAAGATCCGACATAGCATGTGCATATTCAGAATGGTCAAGGAAGTTCCTGCAGCATCACTAACAAAAATAAATGGAAAATTCTCTATCTGTCACGTAAAGAGACCAGTATAGAACTTGAAACAACTACAACATTTGACCAGAAAACTAGTTTCCGGACATCAAGTCACAAATAATTCATATGCAAATAAGATTTTTGATCAAAAAGTTATAGCAGGGTAGACGAAGGAGATGTGACTCACCTAGAGAAGTAATGTATCTCAGTCCCATTTTTATGTATTTGTATGCGATCCCCATCAAATTTGCATTCAGCAACTACATCTTTACCATGGAGCTATGTAGAGGAAAAGAATGTTCATGCATTTGTTAAAGAAACATAATAACCCTACTACAACTATAATGATACTAATAAAAATTACTGCACAGGGAAATGGAGTAAGCTGACAATAGAGTTGATGGAGCTTACCTTCTTCCAAGCACCATTTACATCACTGACACGCATAGCTAATTGGGGTCGTACGGCTTTTCCAACCTCTATATCCTACAAAGTAACAAACAAAAAAACCACTACTTGAGAGAAAGTAGACACATTGAGCATTACGTGTGAGCAATTTAACACAATAAAAGCACGAACAGTCAGATAAATGAGGCAAGACGTATACTTTGGCAACCATGAAAATGAACCCTACCCAAGGGATCACAACAATCATAAACTGAAAGGTTATTATAAAAGGACTGATTTCACAATCATTTAATATGTTTTTATCAGTTGAACATAATTTCTATAGCTCAAATTGTATCTCAAGCAAATGAACAGTATTTGTAGGTTGTCGTCACTCAAGTATTTCTCAAAACAAAAACCTGGCGCTTGTGTCGTTGGTGCCGATCCCTCAACTTTTCACAGACTAGTTTCAAATCACATGTGACATTAAACAAGTCCTCAGCATCTGGATGGAACTCCTGAAAAATGCTCTTTTCACTCATTCCCAATTTCAAATCTGTTAATCATTCAACAACAAATCTGAATTTCTAATTGATCTCAATACAATACAATACAAGATTCAAGAATAGGATGGAAAATCTTTACCTTTGAGAATTATCCTAATGACCCATTTCATTTCTTGCGCATTTGTCTTCTGAATCAGAGTGGAAAGAACTAAAGTTTTTTCCGCTCTGCAATGCATAGATTTCCAAGCAACAACACAGATTCGAGAACACATATTTAGCAACCAATTCTCTAAGCAAATTGGTTCTATCTGAAGTGCAGGGAAATGAGAAAGAACCTGTTCTCACTCGAAGCCAAACGATCAAGCAAATCATTCAATTCCTTGATAGTCAACCCACCAGATGCCATTCCTTGCCTACGCTGCAGTACCTGTGTTTCGCCACAAAAATCTTCATAAAAACCCAAAATCCAAACCCGGAAAAAAACCAAAGAAACCTTAATTACCTCCGCGGCAATCAGGGAAAAGTTTCCGGCGTTGGCTCCAGCCTTAGCGGTTCCACCTTTACGCCAATTGAGGAGTCGAACGGCGTCGGGAGCGTCGCGAGAGATGCCGAGAGCATCGATCAGACACGTGGCGAGCACTGATTCCTTGAGACCGTAGCTACCGCGTTCTCGATCGAGCGAAGGGATGATAAGGCGGACGGCGACGAAGTAGTCGGAGGGTTTGCAGTATGTGTCGAGAAATTTGCGGAATTTGGAACGTTTCAGGGAAGAAGTTTTGCTCTTCTGAATCCAGTTGAAAAGAGACACCAGAACGTTGAATTTGATCTCCTCAG